AATATCAATAAATCAGTTGTTGAAGGAAAATATTTACATTTCAGACATCAAAAATGGAGTCCAGTTAGGAGCTTTTTAGCTATCCTCTTTTAGGACACAAGGTTTTACTATTGCCAGTCACAGTTTGTACTGGGTTTATTTGCAGCTGCTTCTGTCCCAAAGAAAATCCTTCTAATCATAAACCAAAATTAGGATATCTGCAACTTAAATCATTGAGATAATGGACTTTTTTTTTAAGTAAATATGTTTGCCAGACACAGGCAAATCATACTGGGCAGCTCTTTGTGAAGCTGCAGAATATACGTTTTAAACTTGTTTCATGGTGCACCTCTGAAATAAGATTTCCTTCCCAAAAAAAATATAAGAATTCAACGTATCATTTATTCTAAGACGAATACAAGAAAGAAAACAAACTTCAGACACACAGATGAAGAGTCACTGAGTGAAAAGTAACCAAATGCTGGTCACTCTTGCTAGTCTTAATACATCCGTTTCAGGACTTCTGTGGAAGACTTCATGCTAACTGTATTACCAGAAAAATGCTACATAATTCAGAAAAGTCTAGCAAATAATTCAAATCGTGTCTAATTTAATACATGTTGGTAAATACAAAACACTGTAAATAACATACTAAAGTGGCTATTACAAAATGTAAAATGGGACTGAGTAGTTTGATTAAGTTTTTTTTACAGAAGCAGATCTACTTTCTTACAAAGCAGACCTGCCTTGTTAGTGGCAGCGGCTGTTGCTTTTCATTGAAAGGTTTTCCATGATAACTCCTCAACAGAATAGCTTCCATTACTGCCCTGAGAAGTAGGTCCCTTCCCGACTGTGCGTCTGGAGATGCCTTTTGATTTTGTCGGAGCGGCTGAAGCACTTTCCGCACACGGGGCAGCTGTACGGCTTCTCTCCGGTGTGGATCCTCATGTGGACCTTCAGATGAGCCATCTGAGTGAAGCCCTTTCCACAAATCTGGCAGCGAAAAGGTTTTTCTCCCGTGTGGCTCCGCTGGTGCTCCTGAAGTCTGCCGGAGGAGCTGCAGCATTTTCCACACACTCCGCAGCGATAAGGTTTCTCTCGAGTGTGAACTTGCACGTGGACGTGCAAGTGTCCGACGTGACTGAACGCCTCACCACAGACCTTACAACAGAACGATGACATGTGGCCCTGGAGGGGGGATTTTTGATGGGGGCACTCCAAATCATTGCCTCCTTGGTTCCTCATTAGAGGGGCTTGTTCTCTGTTGGCGCCGGCCACAGCTCCCTTAGCTCCACCCATTTGTCCACCATTCTCGGCAGCAATAATGTCAATGTTGCTCTCATTTGAGCAGTTTGGGTTGACTGGTGCTAGAGGCTGGGCACCGCCGCCACCGGATGATGTAGGACCCCTGTGAGCAACTCCGCTCTCGCCCTTTACGTGCCTCGACACATTACGAGACGCAGGATCCCGCTCCCTGTTCTCCACACCCTGATTCTGAGGAATACTGGATGTGTGGGGTCCTTCCTGGGGGTATTCATTCGCTACACGGGGAGGGGTGAACAAGTTTTCTGTGGTGCTGCAGGAGCCATGTCCTTGAAGCTGACCATCTCCTTGGTTGGGTCTCATGTCCCTTTTGTCTTTGATCTGAATAGGAATGCGCTCTTGATGCCCCATACTGGGACTCCACTCTCGACGTGGATGCTCACTGTCCTCTTCCTCCAACAGCGCCATTGACGGGCGATCTGGAAAAGGTGACGCAAAGCATAATGGTTAATATTAAAAATCATATAGTAAGTATTACTTAGAGGTCCAATAAAAAGGAAGTTCATTTAGGAGACTTTAGAGGTCCAGGAGAGAAACTACAGTTTGAAAGAATACCTCAAACAATGTGAAAGATCACTTGGATTTTCTTATTACCAAACCGATTGTTATTTGTTTGTTTTTCTTTGAGTGTGTTGGAGTGTACCTATTCACAAAGAGCCAAATTAATTGTTTTTATCTTAGATTTTTTTTTAAAAAGCAACACTTGGAGACATTTGCTCAGAATTTTCTTTGAGTTTTAATAGTTTGAGGTTCTGGAAAATTAAATGGCCTCAAAAAGAGGATCAAAATCTGTTGGGGGACAAGGAAGGTTGATTCTGGTGCCTTTCTCCAACAATTTAATGGTGCGTTCGCACCAAACGCGTTTTTAGCATCAGGGCATCTGGTGCAAATCTAAAGTAAATCAAGAAGCGTTGAGGGTCTCTGGGTCATCAAGTACGATCAGAGCATCATTTCCAGAGTCCAGACCTAAATTTTCAGTGGCCGGATGCTTGACTTGGGAAATGTATACTTTTCCAGCTGGATGCTGAGAATCAACCAATCAGAGAAGCTGATCCAGGAGCTGTCCAGAAGACTGATGCTTCATTAAGGGGTGAGCTCTGCTTCTTATAAATTCCCAACTGTAGCTGTGACCCACATCCTTATAGCTCGTTGCTATAATATTTAAATTTGCGCTTAAAGCGACGGTGAGATTAAACTGCCTATAGCAGGCATCCCCAAACTCTGTCCTCAAGGCCCCCTGTCCTGCAGGTTTTAGAGGTTTCCTTGCTCCAGCACAGCTGATTTTAATTGAAAGCTGATTAACAGGCTTTTGGTCTACTGCAATCATTATCACCAGCTGTGCTGAAGCAGAGAAACCTCTAAAACCTGCAGGACAGGGGGCCTTGAGGACCGAGTTTGGGAATGCCTGGCCTATAGCATTAAATGTGGAATATCAAGAAACATATTTCACAACTTGGAAAACAATACTTTCTTTGACTTCTTCGGTTTATTGTAATAATTATTTCTCAGAAACTGTATTTTAAAGTTGATCTTTTGTGAACAGCAAAAAACAATTAATTTATGCAAAATATGCCACAAAAAAAAAAAACTTTTCTCCCCCCAAAACAGATAAGGAACCTTACCCAAAACTTTAGCAGGTACATAAACCCCAACAGAGCTCACTACAAAATTATTTGAAGAAATAACACGCTTTTTTATTTTATATCAACTTGATGCTTCCAGATATGCAGAATTTGAACAACAAAATTGTCAACGAACAAATAAAGAACATTAAATTAAGGCAAACTGAAGCGCTTCTTAATGTCTGCTAGCTAGCTAGCTAAGCGAACAAAGGTTGCTAACATGCTAGCTCCCTCCTCAGTCGCATTTAATGCAATTTTATTCCTTTAACAGTGCTGTAAATGTACTTTATATGTAAATCTGATATTTGCCTCAAATAATCATACTCTGAACAACACTTATGTTGCAGGGAATTGTTACTAAACAGTTGCACCGTTAGCACCGTGAAGTGGCTAACCTGGCCATATTTCTATCCCAGCGTCTCGGAGCCTCCGTCTCAGATGATCGTTCTCCCTCTCCCTGATCGCTATCTCTTCCTGGTACTCCAGAATAGTGTCCTCGACAGATTTGTAAATCTCCTGTGCAGCAAGCATGAGGCGCTCAGTCAGAAAGACGTTTAAAAACTGTAGTTTGGTCATTTTGTTGGGTTGAACAGAGACCCTAGGATCAACGAAAAGGATGCTTTTCCCTGTCACGTGACATGGATCCGTTTCTTCTTCGTCTTTCCTCCGAATCTTCGCTTCTTTTCCCCTCTTCTTCTTATTCTGAAAAAAAAAACTGGATTTAATCATAAGTAAATTTTAAAAATATGTGTAAGCTGTGTTTTTTCCCCCTAAGTTTTGGAATAATGAGAAGTTTTACTTCGACTACAATATTATTTATCCAGAAAGATGAACTGTAGATCTCATAATTAAATGATTACCCGATTTCACCTGGAAATGTGTTAAGTAGCACAATCCTCAATAAAAAATGAATTAAGTCAATAAAAATAATAAGTCAATGAAATAAACAAATAAAGAAAAATAAGCAAAACAGTAATGGTAAATTGCCATAACATTTAAAAGAGTAAACAGAAATAACTAATAAATAATGCAACCTTACTCGACACAAAGGCTTTAAATACTAATTGTAGTTTTTGCTGCTTTAAATTTCATCATTTTCACCTACCTTTTTTTTTTTATCTCACTCATTTAGTATTATTTATTATGATCATTTTGTAACATAATGTCTTCGCTTTGGCAATTTTTCAAACTGAATGCTGTTGTAAATAAAATATATTATAACGCAAAAGTAGGCATAAAAAAATGGCAAATAAATTATATAGATGTTTTTTTTTTTCTAATTTATTTTTTTGTCACACACATTTACTTTCAATATGCAGTGGGGAAATCCATGTATTTTCAGAAGCAAAGATAACATTTCCTGCAGAGAAACATAAATTATTGTTTTCGCAAGTTTTATGTTGAAAAAGAAAACATATTTGAAAATATAAGTATATTTCTAACCAATTCAACTGAGTTTATTTCTATAGCACCAATTCACAACACATCATCTCAATGCACTTTACTGTTCACCAGATCATACAGTCAAATTGGTTCAAAGTTTTCTATTTGGTTGCATAAACTCATTGACTAGAAGGCAATCCCTCACACCAAGCATGCTTGTAGCAACAGTGGAGAGGAAAAACTCTCTTTTAACAGGAAGACACCTCCAGCGGTGTCTTCAGTGTGAGCGACCACAGTTCAGTCAGCATTTTATAGAGCTGCTTAATTTTAGCCAAAAAGATATACGAACTGACACAAAACATTACCTTTTTTCTTTGCTTAATTGCATAAATTTTAAATTTTTATTCAAGTGTTTTCAATAAATCAACACATGAGTAGCTTTACTCTGTTTAAAAAGACTTTTGCTTAAAACTACTTAACGAAGTAATGTCATAAACAGCCTTCTTACATTTCTTTCAGCAAAAACCTGTAATGGTACAGTAGTTCTCACCCCTGCATGTAACCCAAAGGTCCAAAACCATTTTTTCCAAAATATTTGTTTTTATGTCATAACTAATTTTAACAAATCTATTATTAAAAATGAAACTTTTTATTTGACTTTCATGCCACAATTATTCTCTTTTAACAAGGAAGAATCTAACAAACCTCCGCTTAAATTGTTTTGTTTTTTAAAAGATACCCCCTTTCTTACAAATATTTACGGAAGGGGATTAGGGCCACTGAAAAAAATTTAAAAGTTAACAAATTTTTACATTTTTTTTTTTTTCAGTTTAATATGGGGAAAAAAGTCAGAATTCTGAGAAAAAAAGTCAGATTTCCGAGATTAAAGTCAGAATTCGGAAATTAAAGTCAGAATTCGGAAATAAAAAGTCAGAATTCTGAGATTAAAATCAGAATTTTGACTTTTTTCCCTATATTAAACTGAGATAAAATTTAAAAAAAAAAAAAGTTGGGGTTTTTTGTTTTTTTTCAGTGGCCCTAATCCTCTTCCGTAAATATCAACAGAGAAGAAATTAATTTAGAAATACTTAAAAATTAAAAGGAATAACTCAGAGTTTTTTACTCATCTTGGCCACCAGATGGCGCCAGAGATGTTTTTTAGTTTTATTAGTTAAAAGTTTGTACTTTTCCGAGGATTTGTTTAAATATATGACACAATGTCCAAATATTGGGAAGGAGACACTAGTTTTTAATTTCCCTGTAAATCGGAGAACATTTTACAGAAATCTTTGAACAATGAGTCCTTGCTGCTGCTTGTCTTTCTGCCTTCCAGAGGTAGTTTCTTCCAGAGGATGCTGGTGTGCTTAAGCTGCAGCTCTGCTTGGACAAGTTTACACTACAGCGGTCTTCTCCACTTCTTTATCCTGCAAAATACTTTTTCTTTTTTTTTTTTTTCTTTTTTCTTTTTTAAGAAGAAAAAAAGGGAAATATTTCCCGGGTGAAGAAAGTGCATCACTGCACGCATATGTCAAATAACTTTGTTTGTTTTTTTCCCCCTTGTGTTGTTTCCATCCCGGGTCTTGTGCGCCTTGGTGCGCCCAGCGGAGCAGCAGATGAGTCCTCTCCGTGGCACCATGTGGATTATTCTGGGGCTTGTTCTGGCAGCTGGCAGCGTTGATGGCAGCTGGGGATGTCAGTTACCCCACGACTGGAGACCGCAGACGGAAGGGTGCCGTGCGGAGCTGGCGGAGATCATCGTCTTCGCAAAGGTCCTGGCTCTGCACAAAGAGTCTTACAGCGTCTATAACTACCTGCCCTGGCAGCACGACACCGACCTGCTCTTCTCCGCAGAGATCGAGCTGCAGTGCGATCAGTCCTGGGGCTCCATGCTGGAGGTCCCTGCAGGATCCAGGCTGAACATCAGCGGTCTGGGATACTTACCCTGCTTCACCTACAGCGTCACCGAAAACAACAATTACTACTTCTTTCTAAGGTGAACAGCGTCCACATCATTTATTTATGGGACTCACTGAGTCATTATTGAAAGTTCCCCATGCATGCAGTTGGGTTAAAGTTTGATTGCACCCAGGAGTTATATACATCATCATTATATATTTAAAAAAGCTCTCTGCACTTTTTTTCTCTGCACTTTTTCCCCTCATTTCCACTTTCTTTATAATGAATACTATATACTTTTAAAGACTACATCATTTGTTATGTTTTAGGTCGTTTACCTCCAACACTTGCTGTGCAGAGGTTAAAGCTGGCCTTATATGACATGCATGACCTGGTTGTAACCCTTACAGATGTGGCTTGGGGTTGAAAATTCAGCAATTAACTTAGCCTGACACTAACTCCTTGTTTACTTTTATTGAGTTTGGAGTTACTTTGACTCTAAAATTGCTAAGAACTTATATTGCATGTGAAAAGACACATCTGATCAATAAAGTTTTGTCTAAGTCTAAGTCTTATCATCACAAAAAAACCAAAAAACGCTGGACTTTGTTTACAAAAACAAAGTGAAAACAGAGTCCGGTTGTGTTTTTTTTTTACGTTTTTGGAAAATTTGATGTATTTTATTGGTACTTTATGTGATACTGGAGCATGATATGAATTTAATGCTTTTTATAGACCTTTTTTATAGACCTTTTAACAAAGAAAAGAAAACTTTTCCTAAACATGTGTTGTGCACATTTGTTTAAAGACCCCTTTACTCTGATACCCATGAATTAAATTCTGGACAGCCATTTTTACTTTGGAACCCAGTACACATCCTTATAATTAAATCTTATTTGAAATACTGCTGCTCTAAATAAAGTCTCTGGGGTTTCATTATGATGCATAAAAAAAGACAAAAAAAATGGTCAGTTTATGTGCTTTTGCTTGCCTGAGTATTGGAGTGCAGGCACTGTTTCGATACCATATAATTTAAAATAGTAATCCATTTTCTTGTTAGTTCTGTTAGTTCTGACACAGTTCTTCTTAGCCGCTCTTAAAACAGTTGCTCTGTGCTGCCACCTGCTATTTTAGATGAGTGAAGAGCTGATTACCTGACACCTGTTGGAGAGCTTGCTACTTCTACTACTAGTGCTGTTTTTATAATGTTTCATAAAAATAAAAAAAATGGCTTAAATGATCTTTATGTTTCCATTCCATGGTTTGACCTCAGCCAGGCCTACAGTTACAATCATATCACATTCATGCAGGCCTCATATGATTATGATATTTTTTTGTAACATACTGGTATCGGTACTGGGTCTCGGCGGATACTCACAGCACAAGCATCAGAATCGCATCAGGGGAAAAAATTTGCGAAATTCCTGTTTATTGTGGAAGCAACTTTAGAGAACATGGACTAACAACATAACGGAGACCTCAAGACGGAGCAGACGGGCCAGAGAGAGACCGTTTAAAGCTGACCTAGGTCCTAAAATAATAAGCAGCATCTAAGGGGCATTACTTGAGTCAACAAGTTGAAATAAAAAAAGAATGTGGTACAGTTGCATCTGTGCCAAAACAAGGCCATTCATCTTATCGGATGGCTTGTGCAAGAGCATTGATCAAAGATTCAGCTGAAAGGTCCATGAGCTCTAGATCACTGCAGCATCTTCAGAATCCATCTAATAGTACTAGTAGAGAAAAAGCAACTTTGCACATCAATCTGAATGGATCATGGCAACTGTAACAGATCACAGTCGCAAGCTGTCGGGTTGCTCGTCAAGCCAGCTAGTCCGAGCTGATGGAAAGCTGGATGCAGCTAAGTAATGGGTGAAGAAACCCTGCTATTGGCAGCCAAAGATGGAGGTTTACCTTCCAGCTGGAACAAAACCCTGATTTTAGTTCCAAGTCTATTCATTTGACAGAAAGGTTCAGTCGAAATCCTAAAATCCTAAAATCGAAATCCTAAAATCCTAACTCATCCTAGCTCTTAACCCAATATGACTAACATTTGGGTGTATGCCATTGAATATTTTCAGCAAAGGTACGCCACAGAGCTTCAGTTGCTACTATAAATACAGACAAGGTAGCTCCGCATAGTATTAATTCGAATAAATCTTTTGAAATAAATGCATTATATACTTGTAGGATTTAATCTATCAAATTATTAGAAAACCATTTTGTCCTTTTCCTTTAATTTTGCATTTATGCTCCAGTTTGTCATGGTCTATAATATGCTGTAAGCTTCAGGGAGGCAAACAGTATAACATTGCATGCCTTATATCACTTAGTAATTAATATGATTTATCATATTTTAAAATTTTAGGTCTGAATATTTTACACCAGGTTCTGATTATTAAATGATATTTGTTGGTGACATTTGACCTCGGATTAACCTTTTGAAATCAATTGAGGATTAGGTTGAAGACAATAGATACAGCTTTAAATGCTGCTTTTAGATTTTCTAAGGTGTGGCTGCACTTTAAACCCCCAGCAGATTCATTTTATGCAGTGTTTTTATGCTGCTTAATAATAGTAACTTACAGAAGACCTGTTATCCATTCTCTGGGTGAGTTTTTCTCTCTCCCCCAAACATGTTCTAGAACAAAAATAGCTTCTCCAATCAGTCAGTCTAACCCTGAAGAGACCATCTCCCTCTGGAACCATAAATACAGACTGTGCTGCTAAAGTCATACGTTTGCTTTAAAAATTGCTCTATTTTTCACTCCTCCTGGATTTTTACTGTCTGTTAATAAATACTCAAAATTACGAAGTTTAATCAGCTCTACCTGATGTTCTTTTATTTCATTATTTTCTTCAGGCTTCCTAGGGTTCTTTTAAGTAACTCTGAATCAACAAGTCCATATAGTTTTTGGTTCTCTTGATTACGTCTAACCTTTGACATCTTCTGCTGAAGTAAAACATGAACTTCCCCTTTCCATTTGAACGTACCGACAGCGCAGCCTCTGATATGGACAGCCAGACCAAAGATGCTCCCTGAGGGCCGTGAAATGAAATCCAGATGAAAACCACTTCCTGAAGATAGGAAGCTTTCTCCATAAATCCATTTCACCTTGTAATTCACTCACTTCAGTCATCAACACTTTTTTTCAATGATACAAGATTACATTTTAGTAACAAAACTACATAGTAATGTAAAAACATTTCTTTAAATATGGGAAGGTATATCTATAAAAGGACCTGGTGGTTTGCGTTTGTGAGCACTTATAATCAATTATGTTCAGGAAAAACACAAAGTAAAAAATTAAGAATAGGATGATGATTTTCAAGCATTTTAAGTGACTCTTGTTGAATGTTGGTCATTGTTTTCTGCATGTTTGTTTGCATGAGTTTAAAGTTGGACATGCATGCAAGTTATTCTTGTTAAATAAGAGAATTTGTGTTTGTTTTTTTTTTCATGTCATTTAGGATGGATGAAAACTACAACATTCTTCCACATGGAGTTAATTTCCAGGATCCCATCTTCCCCGACACTCCAGAGAACCACCGCATGTTTGCTAGTCTTTTCCAGTTTTCCAACTGCACACCTGGAACTCAAGTCCACAGCTTCAGCCCGGAGTGGGAGGCTCAAGAGGACAGCCGGGTATGTAGGCATCAAATAATATTTACCTGAGCCGCATTTCTACCAAACAGGGTTCCCATGGGTCCTTTAAATCTTTGAGAGTTTATGCATTTTAAAAAATAAGTTTGAGGCTTTGAAAGTTTTTTTTTAAAACAGACATTAAAAAAACACCTATCCTTAATAGTCCTTGTTTATTTATTTCTGTTTGTCCACGTCATTACTTTTATTTATCAAGCCCTAATTCTAGTTCTAGTTTTTCCTGTATATAGCTTATGTGTGCATAACACATAGGGTCTCCCAAGGAGAACATGATCTTGGTGACCAATCAGAGAAAGTGGTTTAAAAGTCTTCATAATGGCAGTGAAATTGAAACTAGCGACCTCACCCTCGAGCCTGGCAGGGATTCCATCATTCTAGTGGGGGACCTCAACTCCAGTGAAACCTGGAGGGCAGCCAAGACCTATAGTATGTGCTGGAGCAGTTCACAGCTGAGTGCAAGACGACCGGGAAGACGATCAGCTCATCCAAGCCATTGTTCATGGTTCAAACTGGAAAAGGGTTGCATGGCCTCTTCAGGTTTGAGGGGATTTCCTGTCTCAAGTAGAGGAGTTCACCAATCCTGGCCTTGATCCAAATACCTTTATGTGTACGTCCTACCTCGTGTTTCTAGCTCCTGTTTCTGCACCTTTCACTGGGTCAACACTAAGAAGAACCTCCAGCACCATTTCGCTGCATCCAGACAGCCTTCAATCTTAGGGATGTCCTTACAAGGCTGACAAACCCATGAATGACACTTGGGACAACATCCTTCTGGAAAAGAACTACAAAAAAAAAAAAATTAAACAAAAGGAGTGAACAATTTAAGATATTCCTTATCAAATCTAAAACATGAAGCTGTGTACATTTGCATGTGTTACACAAAGTATGTGTCAATGTATATTTGTTCAACTGTGTAAGAGGGACTCTGCCAAGCAAAGGATTGTGGGCAACCATAGATCTCTTAGCTATGAGAGATGTCCGGGGGTCCCGAAGCTCCAGGAAGCATACTGCTTAGTGATCCTAGCTCCTTCCTAACTGTCAGCACGGTTCTGATTACACTTGTTATACCAACCATCAAAGCACCTCCTACATAGAGGTTTAAGGTATTTGGATAAAGACTTCGAATCAAATAAATGTAGAATGTTGCAGGAGATCAACAGACAAATTGGTGAAGCTGCTTCAGCAATATGGATGCTGCACCCATCTGCTGTGGTAAAGAGAGCTAAACTAACAGGCAAAGCTCTCAATTTACCAATCAGTATCCGTTCTTAACTTCACCTGCGGCCATGAAATCTCAGTCATGAAAGAACATGATCCTGGATAATAACTGCTGAAATAAGCATTTCCTCACAGGGTGGATGAGGGTGTAGAGTTGGTCCACTGTTCCCCGGACATAAAACGCACTATCAGTTGGACTCTCATCTCCAGCACCCTGGCAACAGCCTCCCAACAGAGTAGGACAGATTATACTTCTGCAAACGCACACATCAAATGTCGCTTGGGTCTGGTCGTGAACCAGTTTTGCTGGTCTGCTTCTGCTTCTCTGGAATTTCCAGGGACACACAGCAGTTTCCCACCAAAGTGCAAGGAGGAGCCTATTCAAGAACCCGCGAGAACTTCAGCGGGTTCGGCGGCGCCGGCGGGAGTGTTTATCTTCCAAAACAACAATGGCGCGTCTGAAAGATATCACAGTCATGGAGTTGCTAGATATCAAAGAGGATATATTTATTTATATACTTTGTCTGAGGCATCGTACATGTAGTTGTATTTCT